TCGCAATACTATCGTATCGTGGCTTAAGTATCGCGATAGTATCGTATCGTGGGGAGCCTGGTGATTCCCACCCTTAGGATTTAGCATAACCAACAACGAGGCCAATGGAAAGCAGCCGCTCCCTACCTGGCTTTGTGTTGTTGGAACTCCTTCTCTCTGCGTTTTATCAGCTCCACCGCCTGATTCTTAGGCACCAAGTTTTTGAGAAGCATTGAACCGTTGGCACAGGTGCATGGACCAGGGGAGGGAAGATGACTCGGTGGAAGAGGGGGTGGCAACCTGTGAAAGTGGGGGTTACATGGAAGTCCTGAAGTGAACATTCATTTGACTTCTTTGTCATATTAACAGTAAAGAACCCCAATGACCAACCACACGGCATCCTCCATTTCTGAGAAGTGAGGCTAATTCAGAAGCGCTTTAAACTGTTTTTCAGGTGGAGACCCCACAAAAACAAGTCCGATTGTATAGAAGTCTATGAAAAAATAACCCTTGTTTCATCGGGATTTATTAGATAAGATCAGATGTACTTTATTAATCCCAAATGTTTTCGTTGCAGCAGCATAAAACTAAAAAATGCATTGCACATAAGTACAAATAAAAGAGTAGAAATAAACAATATACAGATGACCGTGAAGATAACAAATCTATAAACTGTCTGACAAATGAAAACACCATTGAAGGGAATGCACCGTTAACATTTTCCTGATGAGTTAATGTTCTTGATCTCTAGTTTTAATTATTGTTCATTACAGCATGATGTCCATTGAGTAGATCATGGTCCCACTTAGAGTAAAATATACTAATATTAATATAAATATAAATATATAATATACATGTATAAATAAAAACATTTTTTTAATTCAATTTAATTTGTATTTTATTCTTTAAATGATTGTACAAAGTATATTATTATTAGCAGGCTCCAAGGACCTGTCAGCTCCGGACAGCGCAACATGCATATATGAAGCGCTACGTCATGAACGCAAGAAATCATACCCTCGTGGGGGCGCGCTCATGTGATTGGCTTAGAATGAAGCAGACATCTGATTGGCTATAGATAGAAAAAATTACAAGTACGAATCGGGTGACCGTCAGGGGAGTCTCAAAAAACCCACACACGAATCATGGTCCCACTTAGAGTAAAATATACTAATATTAATATAAATATATAATATACATGTATAAATAAAAATACATTTTTAATTCAATTTTATTTGTATTTTATTCTTTAAATTATTGTACAAAGTATATTACCATTGTATCCATTATTTGTACACACACACACACACACACACACACACACACACACACACACACACACACACACACACAAACACACACGGTAACTTTACCTCTTTGTTTTTGAAGGACGGTCTCTGTTAGGAACAATATGGCTCGAGAACTCAACAGAAAATGTGTAGTAATATATAAAAACGCAGGTCACGAACACGAGAGCAGCAAGAAGTGGTGCTCGTATAAAAACAGCCATCTGTAGAGAGACAAAAAGACAGACCATAGTCCAGTGTTCCTCTCCAGAAAAACTACCATTTTAAACACATTTGTTTGACATGTATTACTTTCAGAATGATGATAATCCATGTGATTACAAAGGTAACAGTTTCACCAAATAAAAGTGTTGTAATAGTATTTACCTGATACTCCAGGTGTGTGTGTGTTAGCGCGCTGCAGTGACACTCTGAGATATAATAAACCTGTCATTGAGTACATATTGAAGACTATAAAATCTATTCTAAAGGACAGCATGTGATTGGACGCTGCCGGACGGCACGCCCCCTCACTGCGTACCAGTCACTGATTGGACGCTGGATGTAATGCATGTTTACATCAGTGCAGTTTAACAGTGGAATGAAGACACAAAACTGAATAAACTCAAGTGAATCCCTCAGAAGTTTTATACTGTTTTTTTAAGCGTCCATTTCTCACATTCACAAACATTACGTTTATTTTCTTCACATCAGCTCACATTTAAAATATGTCTTCGTCTTCCTCTGTCCTGGTTTCACCTTTTTATTAAGAGTTTATGATTAAACCAGGACAAAGATGAACAATGCCCTGGCCGAGTTAATCTTGAATTCCTCACTTCTTCCTGTAATATGAACACGGTCTGAACACTATGGGCTCAGAACAGTCTCATAATACACACATGCACACAGAAGGATTCAAACTTGTATTTCAGGATCCACACTTGTGTTTTTCAATGCACACACAAATGTGTTCCGTTTCATATTCATGTAAATAAGATCCAAATACAGAAAAAAGTTTTACTCATGTATTTTTGATCCACACATATTTGTCTTCCGTTTAAATCCTCTGCACCTGCAAACACAAACCGCTTTCTGTGCATGGATCGCTATGCATTCATGTGTGGGTTTTTTGAGACTCCCCTGATGGTCACCGGATTCATACTTGTAATTTTTTCTATCTATAGCCAATCAGATGTCTCCTCCATTCTAAGCCAATCACATGAGCGCGCCCCCACGAGGGTATGATTTCTTGCATTCATGACGCCCTCCTTCATATACGCATTTTACGCTGTCCGGAACTGACAGGTCCATGGAGCCTGCAGGCGCTAATCTCAGGACCGAAGGACCATAGTATAGTCGTCTTTATTTTTACAGTATTATTATTCAAAGATAAATAAGGGAGTGTGTGTTAGATGAGAAGGCAGAGAGGCTTCAGCTCCCATTATTAAATCAAAGAGGTTTAATGTTTTCTATTATATTATTTCACTATAGCTATGTGGACGGTATCAAGGTCCAATGTTGACAAATTAATCAATAGCGGGTGTAACTAAAATACAAGATGTTTTTATTTATATATTATTATTAATAATAATAATAATAATAATAATATAAAATATTTTATTTGCGTGCATTACCTGTTCGGAAAGTGGCGCTGTACTGAGAGTGGCGATTTTATTTTGTAATTATATAATTATATAATACTTGTAATAATGGTGCGTTCACACCGGACGCGATGCGAATAATCGCTCGAGTTTCACGCCGGCTGTCAGCTGTGTTTACTCGCCTCATTCATCTGAGTCAGCTTTTCGAGCCGTATCTGGCCGTGCAACACTTATACTGTATGCCGAAGCAGTGGGGGACTGGCCATCGGTACCGGCAGGGGTGGACTGGCCATCTGAAGTTGCTTTGACAGGCGACAGAGGTCCACCGTTTCCCCGCAGCGAGGCTCCCCCCGTTGACAGTTCACTGTCTAGCACCCACGGAAAGTGGCGCTGTACCTTAATAATATAACAGTTTGTATTTGCGTGCATTTCCTGTTCGGAAAGTGGCAATGTACTGAGAGTGGAGGTGTCCTGAGATTAGCGCCTGCAGGCAGGCTCCATGGACCTGTCAACTCCAGACAGCGCAAAATGCGTACATGAAGCGCTACGTCATGAACGCAAGAAATCTACCCTCGTGGGGGCGCACTCATGTGATTGGCTTAGAATTGAGGACACATCTGATTGGCTATAGATAGAAAATATTATAAGTATGAATCGGGTGACCGTCAGGGGAGTCATGAATATGAAACGGAACACATTTGTGCGTGCATTGAAAAACACAAGTGTGAATCCTTTTGCGGATCATGAAATACAAGTGTGAATCCTTCTGTGTGCATGTGTGCACACTGTTCTGAGCCCATAGAACACGGCTTGTTGCAACTTTATCCTCCTAAGGTCTTCAACGCTCAAACTTACCTACCCTACCTTTAAGTGGCGATGGAGATTATTTGTTGACCCTGCTTTAAAGGATATTTTGCCTTTACAAATAGTGCGCTTTATCACTGCCTGGGTTTTGGTTGAAGTGCATCCAAATGCTGCTGCGTTTTTCCATCCGAAAAACACGTCGTCTACCTGTCCTGTACCACTTGTTATGACTTCTCTCTCTCGCGTATTCCATTAAGACCCACCCCATCTCACTCCTCATGCTGAAACCTACCAATCAGAGTAGGAGCGGGTCTTCACAGAATACGTTTGGGGAACAAAATCAAGCTTTTTAAAAGGCGAGTGGATTTTGGCAGGCAGTGAGTGCGGACCAACGATTGAACGATAATAATAATGGCTCTCACCAAGTACGACTCGGTTCCCCTTGTTCGTACCAAAGAGCCGTTCATAAGAATCGGCTCGTTCGTGACCGACACATCACTAAGTGATTTTTTCATATTTTATGACATACAATACTCACATTTATAAAAATAGTATACTCTGACTTATTTCATATTTTTCAAAGTACTATGCTCTGACTTAAGACGTACTATATTACATTACATTTTGACATAACAATTGATTTGGCTTACGCTTTTATTCAAAGCGACTTTTTAATATATACAGTATACCCTACATTTTTCATATTTTCGCACCACGAAAACCGCAAAACGGACGAAAACTTTCCACAACATTTAACGGGTCTTCAGTGTTCGGGGATGAAGGATAGACAGCAGAAAGCGACTTGTTTCATATTTTCAACATACTGTACAATTTATTTTTTCATATTTTATGACATACTATACTATGACTTTTTTCACATTCTTTGACATACTATAATTTGACCTTTTTAATATTATTAATCATACTACAATATGACTCTTTTCATATTATTATTTGTTATTTGTTTCATTTTATATACCCTTAATCGTCCCACAGAGGGGACATTTTACATTCTGCATTTGACCCATCCTAGTGTTAGGAGCAGTAGGCTGCCATTATGTACATACTATATTTAGACTATTTTCATATTTTTTGACATACTATACTTGGACTTTAAAAAAATAAATGTATCTCGTATACTATAACCTTGTTCATATTTTATCCCCATGAAAGGCACGAAAAAACGTTTGTTTAACAAAAAAAACAGTGTTAAAACAGTTTTATTTTATGGCACTGTTGGCCTTCCATATTGAACGGCAGGCGCACTTCGCCGGTCCTTCTCCCCGGTAAACCGACACCTGTCCGCCACATTTCCCTCCAGTTTTCGGGCATGAAGGACAGCCACAGGCAGCAGGAAGCGGCTCCGGAGCGACAGGACCCCTCGGGGGGAGGATTTGAGGTTTCCATCCAGCAGCTGAACGACCTGCTGACGGACAGCAGCGGATTCTACAGCTGGCCCACTAGACACTTCCATGAGGTTTACCCGAGGATCTACGTGGGAAATGCGTGAGTGCACGTTGTTTTGATCTTACATCTGCACATAGAGAGGTTATAAACTGTCATCAGGTCGCTTTCCAATTCCTATTCCCATTCCATTTCCAATAATAGTTCCAGCAGTCACGAAGCAAAAATGATCCCCATAAATTCTGGACAACAGTTGTTGGCTTCGAGTGCAAAAAGACAATACAATATTAATAATTTGCTAATTATCCAAATGCTTTCTACATTCTATTCTATGTAATTGGATGAAATTATGTGTCTGATTAGGGTTGTTATAATATACTAAACCACATATGAAAACAGATTAACATTCAGGATGCTAAGGGATCACTGTTGGGTTAATTGAAGGCACATTTTAAGTGACAAGGATACAAGACAAGAATTATCTAGTAAAATAAATGCTATGATTCATAAAAAATCCCTGCTGACTGATAATTAGATACTGTTTGATTTCTTAAAGGGAGGCAGTTTTATTTAAATTAAATAAGAAGCAGCCGATTCTGAATCACTTTTGGCTTCGAATGCAAATAAAACAACACATTCTCATTTTAAAAACCGCGAATTATCCTATAATATATCATTTAAATCACAAAATGATTTGATATTTGGCATGACAATAGACAAACTGGGTTCGAATAAGGTTATTGTATTATTTTATATCACAAGTAATATCTTAATCTGCAGTAAGTGATCAGTACCAACAATACCATGTGTTTTAGAAGAATAGAATCACCTAGCAAATGAATGCCATGATCTATAGTCATTAAAATCCCTGCTGTGTTATAATTACTGTTTGAGGCATTTTTATGTAGGTTAAACATAAATGTGTATATGTTTAATTTTCCCATTTGAGGCCACAGGCGTCAGAGAAACATCAGAAAGAAACTTGGTTAATATTTGATGAGGCTGACGAATGTTATGGAAGAAACGTAGACAGGATGGAGGATCCCTTTCTGTCTGTACTCTGCATTTAAATTAAAGTCTGCATTATATGTCTTTGTAAACACATTGCTACCAGTTTGGGAACATTTACGAAAAATACTTTATTACACGGCTTACTCAATTCTGACTGGTCAATGTTAATACTCGCTAACACACTGTTGCTAAGTAGAACAGACCGAACATGTGCCAACATATTCATCTGCAGAAAGAAGTCGGTGAATTAAACAACAGCTGTGCACAACAAACAACACGCTTTTTAAAAATATCTTTACTCTTCAACGACCATGAATAAATATACATTGACTTTGACTTTGACATACAATTAACTAAAAACATGACATAGATTCTATCACACTGACAATTACACAGTCAAATATAATTCCCAGCCATCAATTAGTGCAACTATAATATTCAAACTTATTTTACCTAAAAAATAAATGTATGTTAAGACTGGTGGTTTCCATTTGTTGCATCATGGGAGAAAATATGAAAGTCTTTGCAAGTTTGAAGCTCAGCTGGAAGATATGGCAATGTTTGATGGCCGTAAAGCATAGACTGTGCATATATAGACTATATATATAAAGTTATAGCACAGATCTTAAGGCTATTGAGAGTTCAGTACAGTAAATGCATGCTCTAAATGTTAGATGATCTAAAACAGAACATCTTAGAGGTCCTTCTCCCCATGCACAATGCATCCCAGCAGTGAATTTGTCCAGAGAAACCCTCTCTAGTGCCTCCTTTAATCCTCCTTCCTTCCTACAGGAGTGATAATCGCCAGGACAGAATCGTTAAACATTCAACACTGTGCCTGTTTTATTAGAACAACGCTCTAAATGCACCAAGAACTCTCAGTGGAGATATGTGTCTGCAGCTTCTCTGTGTTCATGTCCTGGTTCTGTATCGTCTGGAAGTCTGGCAGACAGTTTTTTTTTTTTTGTGGAGGCGTGACGTTGCAATCAGTTTGAGAACCAGTGTGCAGCGACTCTATTTTTAGCGTTCTACATTTCAAAAAGGCACGAGGTGCCAAGTAGTTGGCTACAGCATCTCAGAGACAGCTCAGAGACGTCTACATGTCCATGTCACTTTAAGGGGTTCAGACGGGGCTTGTTTTTAGGTAGATTTGGCTTCTTCATGATCATTGATAATGCTTTTGTTCAAAATGTACCATACACCATATTTAAGCAGTATGAGGGAAATAAAACGTTTTTTGAACATTAAAGCATGGAGACATGTCACAGTCGAGACACTAAACTGATATACACCTGAACATCAGCAGGAGAGGACTCTTTAAAGTAGAGACACTACATACTGAGTAGTAGTACAAATCCTGTTTCAATCACATTAGTATGCATAAAAAGTGACAGGTCACATCCCCCACTACTTATGCTAATGAGTCCCTTTGATATGCTAATGAGCCCCTTTGTTCGAGGTGTTATCGTGTGTAGGTGTGATATCACAGATAGGTGTGATATCCTTTGATGTGAGGGGGGTGAGGTGTTGTAACATGTAGGTGTGATATTCCCCATTGTAGTATATCCTTTGTTGTGTAATCTAATTAGCCTTTGATGTCTGACCCTTTGATGTCTATCCTTTGATGTGAGGGGTGAGGTGTTGTAACATGTAGGTGTGATATTCCCCCTTGTAGTAGATCCTTTGTTGTCTAATCTAATTAGCCTTTGATGTCTGCCCCTTTGTTGTCTAATCTAATTAGCCCTTTGATGTCTATCCTTTGATGTGAGGGGTGAGGTGTTGTGACATGTAGGTGTGATATTCCCCCTTGTAGTAGATCCTTTGTTGTCTAATCTAATTAGCCTTTGATGTCTGCCCCTTTGTTGTCTAATCTAATTAGCCCTTTGATATCTATCATTTTATGTGAGGGGTGAGGTGTTGTGACATGTAGGTGTGATATTCCCCCTTGTAGTAGATCCTTTGTTGTCTAATCTAATTAGCATTTGATGTCTGCCCTTTGTTGTCTAATCTAATTACCCTTTGATGTCTGTCCTTTGATGTAAGGGGGGTGAGGTGTTGTAACATGTAGGTGTGATATTCCCCATTGTAGTAGATCCTTTGTTGTCTAATCTAATTAGCCTTTGATGTCTGCCCCTTTGTTGTCCAATCTAATTACCCTTTGATGTCTATCCTTTGATGTGAGGGGTGAGGTGTTGTGACATGTAGGTGTGATATTCCCCCTTGTAGTAGATCCTTTGTTGTCTAATCTAATTAGCCTTTGATGTATGTCCTTTGATCAGTGTTTGTAACTAGTATTAAGACAGTCTCTTTGAAGTTTTGTGAGACTGTCTCGCACCCCGTCCTCCTCCCACCCCGTCCCCCTCTCACCTCTTCTGTCACCCCCCTTCCTTTTGCTGTGATGTCAGAAGATAGAGGTGGGGGTGGAGTTAGGTAAAAAAGAAATCCGTGCAAACTAGATAAAAAGCCAGTCATTTCCACTCACCAAGTCACCTAAACTTTCAAAAACGAAAATGGCAAAGAGACGCATCGATATGGGTTTAATCAGCGAGACGCCTGTGACAACTTACCGCCATCCGCCGGGAGCTCCAGTCAAGAAACGGATGCAGTATCTGTGCCGGGTTCAGACCCTCCGTCTGAGGCTCTTCATGAAAAATGAAGTCTGGATGTGTGAGACTGTCTCCCCTCCCTTAGTTTTTGTTACTAAGATACTTTTTAGATACACTTTTGAAGTGAGCAATACTTTACAACTGGTAGAAAGTTAAGTACTTTGTATGGAATTGGGTTTTCTTTTAGAGCTGTTTTCAGTGAGACAATGCAGTTTCTGATCATTTTAAGTTTTCAAGTTTCAAGGCTTTATGGCATATGCCCATTAGCTACAGTGTAGATATGTCAATGAAAAACATAGGTCACAGGCTCCTCCAACAGTGCAACAAATATATATATATCTATATATATATAGATATATATATATATATATATATATACATATAGAGCACATAAAACAGATAAAATACTGCAATAGAGTGTTTTGATATGACAGATTTGTGCGTAATTCTCTCACAAAGGAACTGTAAGATACACGTTTATGTATGGAAAACTTTATAACTTGGTAAAATATTCATTCATTTGTAATGAATTACTTGACTAACATTACTTTTTTTAAATATATGTTTTTAGATGCTTTACTTTTGATTTCTTTCATGTTATTTTAACACAACATTACTTTTTTCATATTTTTCAACATACTGTGATGTTTGTTTTTTCTCTCCTTTTTCCATTATATTTTTGAATATACAGTGATTTTTATCAAAATACAACATGCAACTATTACATTATACAATATTACGACTTTTTGCGATATTTTCAACACAATATACTTTTTTGTAGGGCTTCAGGATATTTGGCATGTCATGCATAAAACCGGTGTCATCTTTCCTGAAACTGACGTGCTGTCCGTTTTACAAACAAGTTATCTTTCTGCTTCTTCACCCTCTGAATTTTCCTCCCCCGTCCCTCTTCCTTCAGCCATCACAACAACAATCAAGTCAGATCTTTGAAATTAAACACCTCTTCCCAAAGCGTGACTTCCCTATTGAGGGAGTGGGGCAGTAGGGCCTAACCCGATTGGCCAAATATACTAACATGCAGAACGTATGGTATGTTTGAAAAAAGACTAACCATCTATCCAGTTCAAGCTGTCTTTAAGATGTGACATTGCGCTCTGACTTTTTCCCCGTAAAATCGTGACAAACTATTACTTATTCTTAAATTTGACCTCTTGCTGCTTGGTTGAAAAATGATAGATGAAAAATAACTTTTTAAAAAGAGTCAAACAGCGAGGGACATTATACGGGTGAAAGAAACTCTAATTTCTACAGATGACTCCCCCCCCCCCCCACTCAACGCAATAAGTCCCACCCCAATCAGCAAATCATCCAAAACTAAGGACCCCACTAAGACGACCGTTGAAAACTAGCCATGGATATGAGAAAAACCAAGTCTGATGTAGCCTACCCTTATTATCACCAGGATAACGGATATGGGCTTAATGACTGGATGTTACAAAGTAAGGGAGAGGATGTTCCCAAAGA